GGTAGGAACCAGCCCATGGGACGGAAGGGGCAGGCAGGCCTACAGGGAGGGGAGGGCTTGAATAACGGAACTGTTTTCTCCATCCCATCAGGATTTGGGGCACACATGCGCCTGGCAGAGGGCCCGAGGGGAGAGTTGGACCCAGGAGAGGGGAGGGGCGGGGCGGGGAGGTCAGAGGGGGGAGGAGGAGGGCGCGCTGGGAGAGGACGGGAGGGCGGGTGGAGGCAGGTGCCCTGCAGCGTTAGGGACCCTGGCCTGGCCTGGGCGGTGGCGGTGGTGCCTAAATGGCTGCGGTATTTCCAGAAGCCGGGCCAGGGCGGGCAGGTCTGTTGAAACGGAAATCGACCCACACCTCGGGAAGGCCAGCATCTCCCGTCTCCAAATGGGCTATGTCCCCAGCAGATTCTGGCTGTCACCATTCTTTGGCCTCCAAGGTTCTTCCAAGCGGCCATCGAGAATTGACCTCCTGGGCCTCCCTGCGGAGGCTGCTCACTTGGGGAGACAGGCGGGGCGCAGAGACCATCTCTGGGGACGTTTCCATCTGACCTGCAGGAACTGCCAGCTCCTTGGATCTGCATCAAAAACCGTGTACACCTCAGTATCCCTCACCGGAGCAGGAAACTTCCTGTAGTGAGAACGCACATCTTTGTTACTGTTTTTAGGGCTTTGAATGTGGCAAACTCCAAATAGCAATTCTTTTTTCGTTTTTATTTTCAGGGGCTATCGGGAACCATCAGGCCTGGTGGTTAAGGCGCTGGGCTCCCACATGGCTGACGGCAGTCTGAGTGCTTTCTCACGTTCTCTCTCTCTGTGTCTCTCTCTCTGATGAGTGCATGTGTCTTGTAACATATTAAAAACAAATAGTTCTTCAGAAAATTATTTTCATTTACATTTATAATCACTGTACATCTTTACAACGTACAAAATGTCTTTCTCGTTTTTTAATACAGATTTTTGCGATTAGGGCACATGCACGCGATGAAGAGACAGACGGAGAGACAGAAAGTGACAAATCTCACACACACACACACACCTGCCATGGGGGATGGCCATGTAGCAATTCTTTGTCCTCCATTCTCCTCTAGGAACCTAGGGCACAAGCCCACATGCGTGACTTAACCATTATGCTATTTGCTGGTCCCCAATATGGCTTTTCAAAGCATGCATGCAGTGCATGTCAATCAAGTCAAAGGTATTAATACATTTATATATATATATAATTTCAGCAGTGAACTTTACATTCATATACATTAAATGCCTTTTTCTGAGACCCTCTCTCCCACCCCCTATAGATAGTGAATACTAATCCACCCTCTCCTATATAATCTCTGGTATCTACAGTTGTTCCCCCCTCTCCCCTCCCCATTAGCATCAAATCTTCCAATTTCTACCATAGAGTGCATGTGCTTGGTATGTATTGAGCAAGAATGTACAATGTGTGTGTTTCATAGTCTAGCTTATTTTGCTTAGCATTAAATCTTCTGGAGTCATCAGTTTGTATCAGATGATGGGGGTCTCCTGGTTGTCTGTGGTTGAGTATTATCCCATAGTGTATATGTGCCACATTTTTTCAATCTGGTCATCTGTTCTTCTACACTTAGGTTGGTTCCATGTCTTAGCAATTGTGAATAATGGTGCAATAAGCATGGATGTTCAAGCATGGATGGAAATTTCCAACTGAGTGGTTTCCTATGCTTTGAGTAAACACCCAGGAATGAGATTGTTGGGTTGTATGGTAGTTCACAATTAGTAACATGTTTAATCCACATAATAAGAAATATTACTGGGGTTGACAGATGGCATAGCGGTTAGGGTGCTGGACTCCCACAAGGCCCTCTGGAGTTTGAGTTTCAGACCTGACAGCTTGCCTTCTCCCTCTCCCCTCCCCCTCTGATCAAATTAGAAAATAATAATAACAAATGTTTTTTTAAAATTAAATACTTCTAAAAAAATATTATTACTATATCTGCTTATAGCTGGAGAAGTTGAGGCACAGAGAGGCTGTGTCACTTGACCAAGGTCACACAGCCATTGCACAATAGGCCCCGGATTCAAACCCAGACTGTCTGATACCAATATCTATGCACTTAACACTCTTATGCCTTTCAGCCTTGGTAAAATTTCACTGAAACATGTCCTGTGATGTGATATAGTCAATAAATGCTATGAGAGTTCCAAAATAGAAGAATCAGTGTCAGGGAAATTTTTTTTTCAGCATATCAGATTAAATGAACTAATCACTAGCAGCTGCTGGGGGGATTCTGTAAGGGACAGCACTTCTCTTGGTCAGCTTCTAGACAGAGATACGGGACTTCCTGGCTCCTCACTCTTCTCAGACACCAATAAAACTAGGTTAGGACAGCAGATAGCTTGGTGGTTAAGGCACTGAACTTCCACGTGGTTATGACTGGAGTCCCGGACCTGGTGCTTGAGGTGAAAATCACACTGGGTGACTGTGTCTGCATTCCTTAAATCCTGAGAGGAGGAACCAGTGGATGGCATAATGGTTACGTCGCTGGACTCCCACATAGTCGACCACTGTTCAAGTCCCAGACCCAGTGGCTTAAAACCCATGCCAGGCATGTGTGCGTGTGTGCCCAAAATCCTGAGAGGAGATTGGAGGAGAAGGGATTGCAGCATGGCCTTCCCCCGGGGGCGGGAGTGATTTCTCACTTTCTGTCTCTGTCTCTCTCTGTGTCTCTGGCAAGAGTACACATCCTATAGCAAAAATTGCTCTCACAAAAACAAACAAACAAAAATTCCTGAGAGGAGAATGGAGGAGAAAGGATTGCGGTGTGGCCATCCCCCCGTGGGGGGGATGATTTCTCACTCTTTCTCTCACCGTCTCTCTCTTGTGAGCACACATACCCTATGGCAAAGGCAAAAAACAAACAAAACAAAACGAAAGAACTACAAATCTATGGCATATGTACACTAGAGATCAGAGGAAAATTGATCAAACATGTATATTGATTAAAAATAAAAGGGAGGCTAGCAAGGGGCATGGTGGTTAAGGCACTGGATTGACACATGGTTGATTACAGTTTGAATCCCAGACCTGGCAGCTTGCGTGTGCGCACGCTCTCTCTCTCTCTCTGGTAAAATGGAAGAATAATAATAAATAAAATTGAATTAATAATTCTTTTTTTAAAAATAAAAGAATAGGGAACCAGCAGTTAGCGTAATGGCTATGTCGCTGGACTCCCACCTAGTCGACCGCGGGTCGCAT